ATACACATTTTTTTTATCACAACTTTCCTTCACACTTGAAATAAAATTACCATCGATATCCCCATTTCTTTAAACTACATTGCTTCCTTGTATCCAATTTGCACCTCTTTGGATAAACAGCCTGCCCTTTCATACTGTCAGACAAATGTAAACAAACCAGTGACAAGTTAATCACAAAGTAAGAGTTACTTGTTACCTTTTTATTCTCTTAGCAACAATCTCTTGGACATATAAATTGTATATCAGGTGAAGTACATTTTATTCAAAACATTGCATAAACAGCTACTGAGGAGGAATCCATTTCTCCGGATAAAAATATGGCGAGAGAAAAACTCAAATAACAGGTGATATACATAGGAAATAGTCTAACAAATAGTCACTGTTTGATCACTTACATAACAGCAATTCAAGGTTAGTCCCTGTTTGCCGAATCACAAGAATGACTTAGCCGGAGAACGTCTTTTAAAATATTCATCTGAAGAGAAAGCATGAATCTGAAATAAATGGAATGAATGTGTGCCTTTCTTATTTTCTTATGAAATTCAGAAACAAAGTAATATCTGAATACACATCTTAAAGCTTTAAAACAGAATATCTCTGATTTACAGTGAAGGCAAATTCCTATTTGAGAAGAAAAAATAAGGGAAAAAAACACGGTGTTTCAGATTCCTTTTACAAAAGAGGACAGAAGGTGTGCTACAGAGCAAAAATATTTTACTAACATTAATTATCAGTATCTTTTCATTGTTATTTATTACATTGTATTTTCTTAATGAGCAAACAAATCTTACTTATTTGCTAATGTTTCCCCCTGATTTAAAACAAGAGAGAAAAAAGGCTTAATTCTCCGCTTCACAGAGAAATTAAGAATGGCTTCATTTCTTTATCATATTAACATAGCTTCCACCCTTTCCACATTTATTTTATGCATGTGAGGAACCTTTGAGCTATTTCGATTTGGACAGAACATTTGCAACATTCCCTATCATCAGACAACTAATACAACTGAAGCAGACTTCCATAAACTTAAAAATAATTTATAAACTCATCTGCAATAACACTTAAAACTTTGCTGAGACATTACCTCTAATGTGACACCAGACAAAAATTAAATAATAGTAATAACAAAAAAATAAACCAAAGGTGTTCAGCTAAAGTACATGTCATGTATATATATTATTATATAGTATTATATATCCAAACTGAATAGATAACAGATACTGCAACGGGATTATACAAACATTTAATATCAAGGATTAAGAAAATTTTAAAAATGTACATCACATTGTTTTCTGCAAAATATTCATCACTGTTGATGCACTTTCTGTATACAAGAAACCAGCCACGAATTTCCAACAGGTGAGACTTTCTCGGTAAAACAACACTGTAATGAAAGACAGGTTTACTTATCCCTCTCAACGGACCTCCTTTCCAGCTACGTCATGTCAAGACTGAGGAAACATTTCATCATCAAAGAAATAGGTTTTATTCTTTTATTTTGCCTCCATCAATCTCTTGCCAGAGCTTTCTGCAAAACAGTCATACAATCCAAGAGTCATTGCATCTCAAACCCCAGAAAAATTCCCATCTGAATATATATCCTCATAACCAAGAAAAATGCACTTAAGGGGTTAGCACAATATTCACATCATATACCTATACATTAGCATGACATCTCAGGAAACACCATGTATGTAAGGCAGCAGGCACTAGTATGACACTGAGTAAGGAGGGGTAAAACCAAGCATCTCCAATCCGTGGAGCGGTCAACATGGTCACGTTATGCATGAGTGAAATGAAGAACGCAGCAGTTATATCAGGGTAAATGATGTCTTTATCACATACAGCCCAAAAAAAAAGGACGAAAAAAAAAAGAAAAAAAAGGAAAGCAGCAGCTTTCTTGATTGTGATCATTGGTCATCTGGAATAAAATATAAGCTGCACTAACTTAATATCTACATATGGATAGCATAAGCATTATCAATAATATAAACATTTGTTTTGTCCTTCATTGGCCATTTTTTCTTTCCTTCTCAAATTTATAAAGAGGCATCTCAATGGTGTGATAAAACATCACTATACCGGCCACTGGCCAGTACCACTATAAACCAGCATCCAGTTTTTAGTTCACATTATAAATATTCTGGAGTCTTGTGTCCCTGAGAATCTTCAGAGGGCTAACCCAAATACCGAGACAATGCAATACATCGTTTTGTTTTCCCAGCGGACAGTGCACGAGCCGTCGGTGGTGTTGTCCCAGTAGCACGAGCTGGCCGTATGTAGCCCTGCACCGTTCTTCTGCATGATGACACACGTCACTGAGGGGGAAGTACAGATCAGCTGATTATGTGCATCTACCTTTGTAGTCATGCTTGTGCATCTGTGCACCTTGAATAATGTATATTGTTATATTAGGAAATATTTATATTTATATCTATAGATGATATAGATCCTTATCACATCCTTTTAACCTATTGCCGCCGGGAATGGCATGTACGTA